CCCGGACCGCAGGGTTCTAGATGGTCCCGAGCGCGTGGTTTTTTGGTGCAAAATTCTCCTCCCTTTGACTCACTCTGACTATATGCCTTTCTGTGTGTGAGGAGGGCGGCCATTGATCGGACCATGTGCTCGTTGAGGGGGGAAAGAAAGGTCCGATCAGCCCCGAAATTGAAGTATGCGTACCGTCACGGGCCCCTGGGACGGGTTCTGGAGTTCCGCGACCCTACAACTTTTTTTCGCGCTAATTGGCCACCAACAGCCCCATGCAATAAGTTGCACATGGGACGTCAAACAAACAGTCGCCCAAAGGGGTCAAAAGGTCGCAGAACCTCGAAATTCGGCACAGACGACCGCCACGGGTCCCCGATAGGGCCCCAGAGTTCCGTGGCTCTGGATGCTTCCTGAGCCCAGTAGGCCCTCTAATACTGACTGCTGAATTGACCCTGGCAGAAACATGCTCCCATAGAAGTCAATGGGACACAGAGAGGTGCATAAAAAATAGCCAAAAATAAACTCGGCGTGTCTCGACCTAGCCCGCTCGGCATGTCCTTTTAAAACCTTTTTAAAGCACTGTCCACAGACAGTATACAGGGACCCTGTCTAATAAGTTACAGGTGGGATGCTGTTTCTGACTTTGACACTTTCAGCCGGTGAATCCTGGTCAGGATTTGGGCATTTCACCACATGTGTTGAAATCCCCAATTACTGACCAGGATTCACCGGCCGAAAATCTCAAAGTCGAAAACAGCATCCCACCTGTAACTTATTTGACGTGGCCCCTGTGGGCTGTCTGTGGACAGTGCTTTAAAAGGTCATATTTCCATCCATGAAATGATCATTTGTGGACAAAGCTACTGCACAGGACTCGGTGGACACAGCGCAACACACTGGTGTAAATTACGACCATTAATTGTGCATAATTTGCATAAAATCATGCTGTCCACAGACAGCCTACAGGGACCCTGTCTAATAAGTGACAGGTGGGATGCTGTTTCTAACTTTGACATTTTCAGCCGGTGAATCCTGGTCAGGAATTGGGCATTTCACCGTATGTGTTGAAATGCCCAATTCCTGACCAGGATTCACCGGCCGAAAATCTCAAAGTCGAAAACTGCATCCCACCTGTAACTTATTTGACAGGGTCCCTGTAAGCTGTCCGTGGACATGTCATTTTAAGGCTAGTTATGCATTGTCATGAAATGCTAAGTACCCCAACATGTTGCATTGTCTGCCCTGTCCACTGTGCTGCAAGTTTTTAGTAATAAACCACTAACAATCATGAATTATGACCTAATAATGCATTGACCACAAACAGCCTAAAGCGGTCCCATCAAATAAGTTGCAGGTGGGATGCTGTCCCACCTGCAACTTATCTGATGTCCCTGAGGTCCCGTCAAATAAGTTGCGGGTGGGACTCTTTTGTGCCCACCTGTAACTTATTTGACAGCGTCCCTATAGGCTGTTTGGGGACACTGTCAGTAGACATAGGTGTTATAACAAACTAATTACACAGGGTTTGATTACACGAACAGATCAATTAACACTTTGACCAGTTTAAACCATTTTAATTAAGCGCCTAAATAAATTTGAATTATCTAAACAATACTTGGAAAAAAAGGACAGACAAGAAGTTAAAATTCCAAAAATTACAAAAACTACTTTATTTTGAACAAATATACAGGAAAAAAGTGAAATTTAAATGAAAATGGTGATGGGTAAAAAAAACAAAGGAACAACTCAAAGTCTTTAAAAAATCGAACACTTGAACTTTTTTTTTTTTTTTTTTTTTTTAACAAAAGTCTCTTGCGGAACAAACACTTTCTAAAAAAACACACTTTAACTCACTTGAACACTTGAACAGTTTAAAATTAGAAGAATAAAAATCTCTCGCGGAACAAACACTCACGAACACTCGGAAAAAACGCGACCATGAACACGAACTCGACGTCTAAAAAACGTCAACTCAGTTTCAACGTCTATTTGCGCTGCCTGCGCTTCTTAATGGCCTCCTTGACCTTCTTGGAGACCTCCTTTTGGCGTGTCAGGCCGACGAGGGTCGTGGAGGTGGGGGAAAAGATGGCCTTCTTGACTTTCAGCGGGGACACGTGCCTCTGAGTCGACGCCAAACATTTCAGGGGAGTCAGGAGCACCGTAGCTTTCCCTCTCCGCCGCGGGTACTTTTTTGGGGTGGTCGTCTCCTCCTCCTCGTCTTGGGATCCCACCGCCTCTGCGCCTGACTCGGCCTTCTCCTCCTCCTCATCCTGCTGCTCCTCGTGCTGCGCAAAGTAGGAAAAACACGCACACACACACACAAAGACATGATAAGTCATCGGTTGTGATGTCGCAAGAGGGATGTTGTAACTCTGCAGTCAAAGGAAAAAGTCAACTCACCCCACTGGACTCGGGGCTGGACGTCCCAGACTCCTGGTACTCCGGGCTCTTGGTCGCCTCTGGAGTCGTGCTGCCCGAAGTCATCTCCTTGTCCGAGGACTCTGGAGCGCTCCTCTTCTTCTTGAGGGGCTCCTTCCCCTTCGCGGGCCACTTGTGTTTGATTGAAGTCGGCTGCTTTGACGGGGAGCCCCTCTCTTCGCCCTCCAGGGCAGTGTCGAAGAGCCTTCGGTGCTCCATGGCCTGCTGGGGGGTCAAGTTGGCAACGTGAAATTTGTCCGCCGTCCTGGTGTCGTTGCACATGAACTTGGACAGCTTGACCCGGTCGTCGTTGGTGTGGGTGAATTTTATCTGGGAGGACAGAGACAGAGAAGAGTAAAAACCAATGCCGCCACCGGCGGAGGACCTCCGAAATGCATGCCAGAAGCGGCGACGGATGCTTACGTGGCTGGCGATGGACGTGCGGACGTCAGTGAAGGTGGGGCACCCGGGAAGGCCCATGGACTTCCAGGCCTCTTGGAAGTAGGAATTGAGATTTTTGCATGGGTTTGGGGTCGAAGTGAAAAACAGGAACTTGGCGGAGGGTCCGCCGGGCAGCTGATCTTTGACTCGGAAGAGTCGATTGACCCAACTGAACTCCTCCTCCGTCAAAACGATCTGGGCCGACCCGAAAGCCATGTTCGTCTTGTGGTTGGCGACCTGTGGACACACGAGGGGAAGAAATAAACATAAACAGATAAATCAATCAATAAACAAATCAATTAAAAAAAAATCCACACAAAAACACATCGGGCAAAGAAGAGTCGGACGCTCACGTTTATCAGGTACGCCTTCTCCGAGGTCGATTTGCGGGCCCCCAGAACCTCCTGCATAGTTATGTTTTGGAGAACCCCCCCTCTGTGGCCGTACACGCAGGCGAGCAGCGCCGCAAAGTACTCGTAAAACCTCCACAGGGTCTTCTGGGTGGGCTCGTTCTCCAGGAGGGCTAAAGACGAGAGAATGGCAAAAAGTTCAAAGGTCCGTCGGCCGGCGGGTGAGAGCGCGGGGAGGAGACGAAAGACCACTCACTCAAAAGGTCCGGGATGGCCTTGGCGGCGAGTTCCCTGCACTTGCGGAGGGTGGGCTTTCGGATGATGTTGACCTCCTTGACCTGCGTCTGGTGGACGGCCACACCCCTCTTCAGAGACTTGTGGAGCGCCCCCATCTCCCTGCGGAGGCTGACCAGGGCTTTTTTGGTCAAGCGGCAGGACTGCGGAGGGGTCTCCGACAGGAAAAAGTCGAAGTGAAAAACAGGAACTTAGCGGAGGGTCCGCCGGGCAGCTGATCTTTGACTCGGAGGAGTCGATTGACCCAACTGAACTCCTCCGTCAAAACGATCTGGGCCGACCCGAAAGCCATGTTCGTCTTGTGGTTGGCGACCTGTGGACACACGAGGGGAAGAAATAAAAATAAACAGATAAATCAATCAATAAACAAATCAATAAAAAAAAAAATCCACACAAAAACACATCGGGCAAAGAAGAGTCGGACGCTCACGTTTATCAGGTACGCCTTCTCCGAGGTCGATTTGCGGGCCCCCAGAACCTCCTGCATAGTTATGTTTTGGATAGGGATGTCCCGATACCACTTTTTCACTTCCGATACCGATACCGATGCCGCACCTTTGGCTTTTGCCGATACCGATATTAGTCCGATATTTTTTTTTAAGGTTTAACAGTATTTTCAACTGTAAAATGTATACAGTGTTTACCATTTTGAGGCCAATAAGATTAAGCCAAGCATTCCAGGTGTCACACATTAGCTTTTGTCTTTATGCGCTTCCTGGCCATTAAGTTCAAGATTCAGCTTTGCTTTTGTAATGGTAAAAGTGTGACCACGCTGGTCAGACTGATTAGATTAGCGTCTCTGGTAATCTGCTGAATCATTTACATTTGCTTTGTTTCAAGAGACTCCTCCTCAATTTAACTCCTCCAGATTAGCATGTCAAGGCACATAAAACTGCTATGCTGATGAACTGAGATGCCTGTTGAATCATTTACATTGCTTTGTTTCAGTTCCCTCCCCCCCTCAATGTAAACTCCTCCCCTCTAAATGTATAAATTGTAAGGGAATGTTTTCCCTTAGTTAGACTTACTTTGAGATGACTACAGTGACGCAATAAAGAACTTCTGCGTGAAAGATACCTCAAGAGTCTCCTGGTCTGTTGCGTGGAAGAAGAAAAACTTCACTACATGATCTTTTGTGTTTATAAAGTATACAGTTGTTTTTTTTAAGAAAAGGACCAATAGTTTCTCTAGATAAGACCCTTATTCCTCATCTGGTATCATTTACAGCCCTTTGAAGCAGCACTGAAACTATAATTTTGACCTTCAGCCGTTTGGGTCCCATTGAAATCCACTATAAGGAGGAAAATCCTAGAATGTGTTCATCAAAAACCTTAATTTCTTTTCGACTGAAGAAAGAAAGACCTGAATATCTTGGATGACATGGGGGTGAGTAAAATATCAGGAAAATTTCATTCAGAAGCGATTTAATCCTTTAAGGCGAGACACTACAGGTGAATAGGGTAAAATTTTAAACTAGCAGATATCACCATGAAACTTTCCTAGTTGATTACCTACATTAAGATGAGAAAAAAATGTATTACAAGTTTTCTGTAATTTAATGTTTAAATATGCAAATGAGGCATTATCTGATTAAATATGCACTAATTTGCATATCTTTAAAACAACGAAATATGACTATTGGATAAAGCCAGGTTCAATTTTTTTTCTTCATTGTGTTCATATAATAGATGGGAAAAAAATTACAGAAGGATTTATGGATATCTACTTTTGATATCCTGTAAATCAGAATATACCATCAATAGTCTTAAAAAAATGATTTTTCGCCATGTTTTTTGGGATAAAATGTTACATAAATCAGGCTAGGAATAATATATTTACAAATCCCTCTGTAAATGTCTTCATAATATAACTAGGTACAAGACTGGAAAGTTTGGTGTATATAGGTGCTACTGAAGTGGAGATTTCAGACTTTGAGTATGAGAAAAAAGTCATTTTGAGAAAACGGGCTTTAAAAATGTATATTCTAAAATTCCACACATTTCTACATGAAAACATTGCTAACAAGCAAAATAACTGGCCAAGTTATTGTTTATAACAATTTACATGAAAAATGACAACTGAATAAAACAACATTGCCAAATAAGACCTTCAACTACACTGTAAAAAATACGTGCCAAATAAATACCGTAAAAATAAAGTAAAATATCCTAATTTAAATTAAGTTGTTTTACAGAAAAACACTGTTATTTTACAGCTATTATCTGGATTATTACGATCAAACACTCTAACTGTAAAAACAATGCATTATTATGATCAAATACCTTCATAGTAAAAAACAGTCAATGACTGTCAGCAATGGCTGCCATTCAAAAAACATAAAATGAATGTAAAATAGCCTAATTTAAATAAGTGCAAAAGTAAACACAGTTATTTCACATATTTCCTAATTGTTTTATGAAGAAACATATAGGTGATGTATGATTTACTGTCACTATACATCACTGCATCAGCAACTACACAGTTACTGTCAGTTAAATAAAGGAACATGCATTAGTTTTATTCTGCTCATCTTGAACTGAAGCACAAGCTCTACTCTTCAACACAATGGTGACCCACAAAACACACCATACAGAAACAATCCAGACTTTATTTATTGCATACTAACATTCTTACTGAAACAGATGTTTAGAAGTTGATTTTTTATGTGAAATAATAAATGTTGATGTCACCATGATGGAGATCAGTGTTTGCTTTAGTGGGGCTCTTGACCCTTTGCTTTTAACATTACTATTTCTCTGGCTGCTTTAACTGAGTGTCATAATTGATACATATTTGTTATGGTAGGAGTCCAAGAGAATCTCAGTTCAAAAGATCTGATCACTTATTAATGGTAATGGTTTTCAAGTAATTGAATGCTTAGTGATATCACCTGATTTTTAATGCACTATGCCTCAGCTTGTCAGCTAGCTACGGCTCTTCGTCACAGCAAAATCTCAGTCAGTGTTAATTTAACACTCCTGGGATACAGGAGTACACACTCAAGAGTGTTAAAGTTAATGAGATAATTAAGTGATTAATTGAGTGATGATTGAGCATCATTGAAGACACCTAAAGCAGAATCACAAGGAGAAAATCTAAAATTGTAAGCCACCGTTATGGAGATGAGTGTTTGCTTTAGTTGGGCTCTTGACCCTTATTTTATAAACTTTATATTTTAATTGGCTGTTGGATCTGAGTAATACCTGCCAGATGAACAAAGAAAAAAATATTATCTAATAATTTTTGTTATATTATGACAATCATTATTTGAACTTAATGTTTGTGACTTATGTTGTTGGTTACATTATAACTGTGATTCTGTATAAATACCCAGAGTTTGAGATATAATATAATGGATTTATTAAAAGTTGTACAAAAAAAGAAAGTCTTTCTTTTATGCACACACAGATATCAAGATTCAGTCAATGCTTCTCATCAATGGTGGCGAGCAGAATATTCAATTAGGAAAAGTAAATTACATAGACAATTCAGATCATAATTTATTCATACCGCAATGCATGAGCCATTAATGAGTTGTGATTGGTGGCAGCAATGATTATTATTGTCACCACGGTTGAGATACACAGGCTGATTATTGATGTCTGCGTTTCTAAATAAAGATAAAGGGATTTGATCAGAACAATTTTTATTACATGTTTTGAATTATAAGAAAAATACAGATTATCATATGCTGCAGAACCACTAAACTGTGGCTAACAAGTTAAACTGAATCATCTGAATAGGTTTCATTTAGATCAAACAAAATTTAAAGTGAAAGTATAAGTGTCGAGAGCCCAACTAAAGCAAACACTGATCGCCATAACGGTGGCTTACAATTTGAGATTTTCCCCTTCAGTGATTCTGCTTGTTATCACCAGGTGTCTTCAATGCTCAATCATCACTAAATTAACCACTTAATTAATATTGTTTCAATATAACAAGGTTCATGGGGAAAAATACGAAAATCCTAGATTTAATCTAAAACTTAAGTACACCTATGTAATCACAACAGATACACTCGGATATTTCAGTGAATCAGGTCACCATATGATGACTATAACATCACCAATAACTGACCAACATCAGCTGATATTTTCTCCCGCTTTCAATGCTATAACAAATGTATGTTGAAAAACATAATTAAAACAGCCAGGGTAAAACTAATAGCATATAATAAAGGTCAAGAGCTCAACTAAAGCAAACACTGATCTCAATCATGGTGATGTCAAGTTTTTATTTAAATTAACATATTTTTACTGTAATTTTATGGTTTTTGTTTGGCACCCTGTGCTGCCAGTCAATTGACCCTTTTTTAACGATTTTTTTACAATGACGGTATTTGATCATAATAATGCAGGAAATATCTGTAAATAATAGTGTTTTTCAGTTTATTTAATTTATGACGTTTTACTTTAATGTTACAGTTTTTTGAGCTACAGTCATGTAATCATTTAACTGTTTTGTTACCATTTAATTACAGATTCTATTTGTACTTTTACATAAATGTTTATGTAATTTAAGAAAACAGAAAAATACTGTATGAAAAATACAATCAATTTCTGTAAAAAAAAGTGAATGACTGGAATTTTTTCTTTAATGTCACAATACCTAAAATATCAGCTGCATTTTTATTTTCCAGATATTATTTGTAATTTTGCAGTGTTTTGAGTACAATTTAAAATGAAAGAAAATGGTCGTCAAGAATCACAGTTATTTTCTGTGAAATTAGGATTTTTTTTTACAGTGTAACCACTGAGAACCACAGATAAAATGGCTAAAATGGCGGCGCGTGTAAATCGCGAGGCTCAGCGTCTCTCCAGCTTTGGCAAACTGTGTATTATATATCTAGTTATTTTTAGCTCAGTTGTTCGTAACTACTCGGCATTAATTTCATATAGCCGTCATACACTCTTGGACATTAAGCTTCGCTGTACAAACATCGCAGTGGATAAAGAAACACATCTCCAGCTGTTACCCGTAGAGCTACTCCGGACCCTGGACTCGAGTGAGTCAGCTGGACCGGCAGGAAGTGCACGTCGTCGGCGTTGTGAGCGTAAACAACGAAGGGGTAAGCGGAGTGGCCTGCGGGCTAGGCTAA